GTGTGTGTGTGAGTGTGTGAGTGAGAGAGTGTGTGTGTGTGAGTGTGAGTGAGAGAGTGAGTGAGAGAGAGTGTGTGTGTGTGTGTTTATATATAGCAGCCGTTAAATTTAAAATACACGTATATAAATACAAATGTAATATGTATTTTATATTTATGTACACTGCCGTTCAAAAGTTTGTGATCGGTTTTTAGAGAAGATTCTACAGCTCATCACGGCTGTGAGTTATCTATTTGATACAAAAAAAAATTGGTGAATTATTGCAATTTAAAATAAGTTAATGTACATTAAACTGTAATGTATTCCTGTGATGCGCAGCTGTATTTTCAGCATCATTCCTCCAGTCTTCAGTGTCACATGATCTTCAGAAATCAGTATAATATGCTGATTTTAATATACTATTTTGAATAAATGCTCTATTTTAAACTTTGTATTCATCAAAGAATCCTGAAAAAAAGTATCAGTTTCCACAAAAATATTGTGCAGCACGACTGTGTTCAACATTGATAATAATCAGAAATGTTTCTCGAGCAGCAGATCAGCATATTATACTGATTTCTGAAGATCATGTGACACTGAAGACTGGAGTAATGATGCTGAAAATACAGCTGCGCATCACAGAAATACATTACACTTTAATGTATGTTAAAATAGGAAACCAATATTAGAAATTGCAATAATATTTCACAAAATTAAATTTGTTCCCTGTGTTTTTGATCAAATAAATTCAGCCTTGATGAGCAGAAGACACTCAAGCGTCAGCAGTGTATGTGTAGTTTGCAGTAACTGCGCTGGTCACTGAGGGTTTGCAGCAGATCTTCTGTGTGATTGGACAGCGCTGGACTCATGACGTCAGCAGAGCCTGATGTGCGTGTGGCTCCTGAACCCCTGCGGCTCGATCCGGTCCGCACCGCAGAACTGGTCTGCCCTGATCTGGACCTGTCTGTCCCTCTGACCCCGGAACGACCAGCAGACCGCCGCCAGCGCCAGGTTAGGTCCACACCTGTCTCTCTCTCTGTGTGTTCACTACATGATGCTGTGGCTTTGGAAAGTCTGCGAACTGGTGTTTTGTGTATTAATTAGTGCTGTCAAGCGATTAATCGCATCCAAAATAGAAGCTTAAAAAATATATGCGTGTATTGTGTAGTGCTGGGCAGTACACCGGATCATACCGAATCCCGGTGTTTATTTTTATGATGATATTAATTTTTAAAATACCGCAATGTATGTCGCTTAAACAACGTTTCGCTGCATGAGACAAAAAAGTTATATAGCCAAAACAACCACATAGCCGCTCTTTAGTGTAGATGCATGTTAAAAAACAACAAAAAAACCAACAGTGTTGGCTCAACAACAGCGTTCCGGACTGCGCTATTCATCTCGATCAGCTGACAGACCATTACGGACTACAAGCCCCCACCACGCACCTGTGACAGCACCATCTCCCTGCTGAACGAGCTGAACGTCGTCTTCGCTCGCTTTGAGGCACAAAACAGCACCACTGCACAGAAGACTCCACCTCCTCCCGGCGACCAGGTGATGACGCTGTCCCCGGACAGCATGAGGAGATCCCTCAGCAGGATCAATGCACGCAACGCTCCAGGTCCTGACAACATTCCTGGGCATGTACTGAGAGACTGTGGAACTCACTGATGTCTTCACCGACATCTTCAACATCTCGCTAAGTCAGGCTGTTGCCCCCACATGCTTCAAAGCTACCACCATCATTCCAGTCCCGAAGAAGTCGTCTCCATCCTGCTTCAATGACTACCGTCCAATTGCACTTACCCCCATCCTCATGAAGTGCTTTGAACGGCTAGTCATGCACCACATCAAGTCTGCCCTCCCCCCCTCCCTGGACCCCTTCCAGTTTGCATATCGGTCCAACCGCTCGACCGATGACGCCATCGCCACTACCCTCCACTCAGCACTCACACACCTGGACAAAAAAGACTCATACGTCAGAATGCTGTTCATAGACTTCAGTTCAGCATTCAACACAATCATCCCTCAACAGCTCATTCACAAATTGGTCCAGCTGGGGCTCAACACTTCGCTGTGCAACTGGCTGTTGGACTTCCTGACTGGAAGACCTCAGGCAGTTCGGGTCGGCAGCAACACATCCAGCACCATCACACTGAACACTGGGGCCCCCCAAGGATGTGTGCTGAGCCCCCTCCTCTTCACTCTGCTGACCCACGACTGCACACCGTCACACAACTCCAACCTCCTTATCAAGTTTGCGGATGACACGACTGTAGTGGGTCTCATTAGCAACAGAGATGAGACAAACTACAGGAGCGAGGTGAGCCGCCTGGCCGGGTGGTGCAGTGACAACAATCTCTCTCTGAATGTGGAGAAGACGAAGGAGATTGTTGTTGACTTCAGGAGAGTGCGCACTCAGCATGCTCCTCTGACCGTCAATGGTGTGACTGTGGAGAGGGTGAGCAGCACCAAGTTCCTGGGTGTGCACATCACAGAGGATCTCTCCTGGACTGACAACACCGCAGCACTGGCCAAGAAAGCACAGCAGCGTCTCTACTTCCTCCGCAAACTGAGAAGAGCCAGAGCCCCGGCCCCCATCATGTGCACCTTCTATAGAGGCACCATCGAGAGCATCCTGACCAGCTGCATCACTGTGTGGTATGGCGCCTGCAACGCGTCCTGCCGCAAGACACTTCAACGCATAGTGAGAGCAGCTGAGAAGATCGTTGGTGCCTCTCTCCCCTCCCTTCAGGACATCTACAACACCGTCTCACCCGCAAAGCCCTCTGCATTGCAGGTGATCCCACCCACCCGACACACAGCTTCTTCAGTCTGCTGCCATCAGGGAGGAGACTGCGGAGTCTCCAGGCCAGGACCAGCAGACTGAAGGACAGCTTCATCCATCAGGCTGTCAGGAAGCTGAACATTTTACCTTATTTGTATAGTTGTATTTTATATTTAATCTGTATCTATCTGTATTTATGTTCTACTGTTAGTGTTATCTGTATGCACCAAGGATCTGAGAGTAACGCAATTTCAATTCTCTGTGTGTATGTGCTGTACATGTGGAAGAATTGACAATAAAGCAGACTTGACTTGATGTGGATTTTATCAGACGATGCCGTGATTATAAATGAGAGTGACTCCTGCTTAACATGTATAAAGCGGTCGTGTTTAGTCACTATTTAGTGTGGTATTTTCTGACAATATTCACTCATCATGACAGTAAAATAGGGCATTCTGAGTCAATATGCTGCAGTATTTCCTCTCAATTAGTAGAAAATATGGTTAACACCCGCTCATGCATGAAAAAAAATACCGTCATGTACCGTGAAACCGGTATAATTTTGAAAAATACCGTGATATAAATTTTTGGTCATACCGCCCAGCACTAGTACTGTGTATATTTATTTTATAAAAATACTAGGGGTGCAATGGTTCAACTTACTCACGGTTCGGTTTTGGTGCGGTTCGGTATGTGGTATGTTTAGGGAAAAAACTATATTGTCAAATAAAGAAAATAAGAACCCATAATCTAACTACAAGCAACGGCACAAATAAAAAAACAATACAAATAAAAATTAAAAAACAGTTTTTTTTGCATTAGTTTTTAGGTACAGAAAATGAATAAAGTAATCAAATGTAAAATAACATTGCCTATTTGACTGTATAAATTAAAGATTAATCCTTATTAAAGTTACAAAAGTTATTCAGTCAAGAGCAGTGAGTGATTTCCGTGTTGTTGCTGTTTGATTAACTTTAAGAAAGTGCTGTCACTTTAAGAGAACGCACTGATCCAGTGCACTGATACTGTACATTCAGCCGTCTGCTAGGATACTCACCAAGACGGGCATTTTGACATAATTTTTGTGTGAATTTGTCCATTCAAACACAATACTACACAGAGAGCTTAATATCTGCGGGCGGTCTGAGACGAGGGTTCAGGCGCTTCGGATGAGCGACCACACAGATCTTCTCACTGCGAGTGCGAGTTCACATCTTCTGGCTCTTTAATATTTAAACTGGCCAGGCTTAAATGAGTTTAGTTTAAACACAGATAGCGACGTGTGCTGTTCTGGTCTCACCTGCGCTATCAACACGTGATGACGGTATAAACGACAGTTATTCCAGCATACAGCACTCGCATTGATTAAAGAGGGACTGGTTTGTCCACGTATTGGTTTTTTTCTCTCTCATCGCTCTTGTTGTAATGTATTGGGAAGCCAGAATTTGTATCCATCAACAGAAACATGCATTAGCCGAACTCTAACAAACCATATTACAGATGCATTGTCAGTTTTAAGTTGAACCGCACGCGGTCCTAGTGCATGCCGAACCGTGTGTGGAGAACCGTACGGTTCGATATTTTACCGAGAACCGTTGCACCCCTAATAAATAAACACATTTACATGCATATATTTCAGTCCCTACAGGATTCTGCGATCGCTGAGTTTATCGCAAAATCAAGCAAACTCCGCAATTTTCGCAAGAGCTCACAAATTTTCGTAATTGCCGCAGATTTTGGGCTTGCCGTGCGTTCACACCGTCGCCGTCGAGAGCGTCAAAGTGGCCGGAAGTCATTAATTTTCAACGCCAGACTTGGAAGTTGAGGAGAGTTGAAATCAGGTCAACTTTATGGTAATGAGCTATGACGCGGTTCGGCGGCAACCAATCGGAACGTAGAAGTCCACCGCTTGAGAGGATTCCAGAGAACGCAGTCCTGCAAACTTTGTTTCCGACCGCATTAGTTCCCAAGCAAAATGGAGCAGAGGTTGATTATTGCTGTGGCGGGTTTCCCAATAATCTACGATGTGTCCCTGTTTGTGTACAGGGACATAAATTTAAAAAAAGATGTGTGGACCGAGGTGTCTGAGATTGTTGGTGTTACCTTTAAATAAATTTTCCTGATTATTCTTACATTAAGTAATGTTTATACCTGATTATACTCACTTAAGTAACATTTTCAATGCAGGACTTTTACTTGTATCAGAGTATTTTTACAGTGTGGTATTGGTAAAGGATCTTAATACTTCGTCCACAACTATATTTAATGAGGTTAACTTATCATAACGTTACCCTCCTTGTGGTCAGATCAACAAGCGTGTTTGCTTTGCGTCCCCTTTAAATACAAGACAAGCATTCGATCTGTGTCAGAGCGTCCACAAATCTTTCTACAGCGTTGTTGGCAGGGCGGCCAGAGCGATTTTTGACGATTTTTCAGTGTTACCAATTTAGCTACTTTGTAGCTAGATTTAGCGACTTCCCCGCCCCTTTTGAGACTTTTTTCAAAAGTTTAGGAACAAATATAGCAACTTCTTGGACAAAATATATACTGTATGTGTGTGTGTGTTTATATATACACTGTACACACACGCATATATTATGTAAACAAAAACTTTTATTGTGGATGCGATTAATCGCGATTAATCGTTTGACGGCACTATTCTTATAAGCTATATTATATATAAATGCATTTAATATATAAACATAACATATTTTTCTTAAATATATGAGTGCGAGTTCACATCTTCTGGCTCTTTAATATTTAAACTGGCCAGGCTTAAATGAGTTTAGTTTAAACACAGATAGCGACGTGTGCTGTTCTGGTCTCACCTGCGCTATCAACACGTGATGACGGTATAAACGACAGTTATTCCAGCATACAGCACTCGCATTGATTAAAGAGGGACTGGTTTGTCCACGTATTGGTTTTTTTCTCTCTCATCGCTCTTGTTGTAATGTATTGGGAAGCCAGAATTTGTATCCATCAACAGAAACATGCATTAGCCGAACTCTAACAAACCATATTACAGATGCATTGTCAGTTTTAAGTTGAACCGCGCGCGGTCCTAGTGCATGCCGAACCGTGTGTGGAGAACCGTACGGTTCGATATTTTACCGAGAACCGTTGCACCCCTAATAAATAAACACATTTACATGCATATATTTCAGTCCCTACAGGATTCTGCGATCGCTGAGTTTATCGCAAAATCAAGCAAACTCCGCAATTTTCGCAAGAGCTCACAAATTTTCGTAATTGCCGCAGATTTTGGGCTTGCCGTGCGTTCACACCGTCGCCGTCGAGAGCGTCAAAGTGGCCGGAAGTCATTAATTTTCAACGCCAGACTTGGAAGTTGAGGAGAGTTGAAATCAGGTCAACTTTATGGTAATGAGCTATGACGCGGTTCGGCGGCAACCAATCGGAACGTAGAAGTCCACCGCTTGAGAGGATTCCAGAGAACGCAGTCCTGCAAACTTTGTTTCCGACCGCATTAGTTCCCAAGCAAAATGGAGCAGAGGTTGATTATTGCTGTGGCGGGTTTCCCAATAATCTACGATGTGTCCCTGTTTGTGTACAGGGACATAAATTTAAAAAAAGATGTGTGGACCGAGGTGTCTGAGATTGTTGGTGTTACCTTTAAATAAATTTTCCTGATTATTCTTACATTAAGTAATGTTTATACCTGATTATACTCACTTAAGTAACATTT